AGCGGGTGGATGAGGAGGAGGAGGAGGAAGGGGAGCAACAGTCGACTTTGATGGATGTGGTTTATCCGAAGGATGACGAGGCGGAGCAGATGGAGGAGGAGGAGGAGCAGTAGTCGACTCTGATGGAGGTGGCGGATCCGAAGGAGGACGAGGCGGAGCAACCAGAGCAGGAGCTGGCGCTGGCTCTGGGCTCCAACATGGAGGACTCCGAGGCAGAGTTCGTGGTCGCGGTCGAGACGACGGAGCAGCAGGCCATCCTGGAGTCCATAGTCCATACAAGGTGAGGCATATGTGGAGGCCAACCGACAGTTCATCCGGCAGGAACGGGCGGCGGCCGGCGCGCTCTTCAACGAGGTCGAAGCGATGGATGCGGGGGCCGACGCGTAGGAGCCGGAGCTGCGGCTGCCGCCCATCTACCCAGAGTCGAGATAGTGAACATCTCTGATGAGGATTAGGGTAGTGTATTACATGGATTTTATCCATTGCATGCTTTTCTATGGATTAAAGATTTATAGTATGAGGTATCCGGATGCTGGATGCAGATGAGAAATTTAAGATGTGACCGGTCATTGTCCATGGATGCGGACGGACGCGTCTATGAATGTTTGAGTGGTCCGATTTACTGTTCGTGGCTGTAAATGCTCTTACTAGCTAGAAAATGAGTAACCATGCTAGGGTGCTGTCAAAACTTTGACATAAGTAAAGTTATGGAATAGAAAATTACACTGTTGTTAGATAGTTGCCACGGATGCGGCCGGACGCGTTCACAGATGTTTGAGGGGTCTGATTTACTGTTCGTGGCTGTAAATGCTCTTACTAGCTAGCAAATCAGCAGCCATGCTAGGGTGCTGTCAAAACTTTGACATAAGTAGAGTTATAGAATAGAAAATTACACTTTTGCTGGATCGTTGCCGCTGGGCCAATTGAGCGTCCACCATTGTGCATAACCTCTATGAGTGACTATGACTACAATGCAGTCACTCTCGATCATGAACTTGTTGCAACCCCATAGTGTTCATTAAAATCAAACAACCCCGAAGAGCCCTAGCTTTGGCTGTTGCCGCATCATCATCGTACGTCAACGAAAGGAATCCCACTAAAGCTTGCTGCAAGAAAGTAGCCCTTGTCGACGCAGTGATCGCTCCCGAGCCAGTGTCACCGTTGGACACTACGGGTCAGTTTGGTTGCTGCCCTGGGTACTTTGTGCCTGGCCTGGAGACTGCCTGAGACTTGCCTCAGTGTTGTTTGGTTTGTGCCTGAAAAATAAAATGAGTGCCTGGCCTGGAGTGTAGGCTGCCATCATTAGCCTGCCTTGAATCACGTGCGGCACAATTAGCCTGGCCCAGGCGTCCACCATGGAGCGCCTGGCCGCTGCCTGGGCTACTAATCCTAGATGAGAAAAGGACCCGCAGGAGACTTTTCAAGGCATCTAAGCTTTTACTAGGTTCTAAGCACCTACCCAGGCCAGGTTGTGAACCAAACATGTACATGTCAGATTTGCCTGGCCAGGCAGAAAACATCAATGACTCAGGCACATACGCACCCTTTTTTCTCCAGGCACATATCCAGGGTAGCAACCAAACTAACCCTACATCCAGTGGCGGAGCTTGCATTGAGTTAGGCCTGGGGCTGGCTAGCTTGAGCGATGATTTTCCATAAACTTTTGTACTTTATTTATACTCCTTCCTCTCCGATTTATAGAGCTAATCTATTTTTCCATTTTATTAGCCTCAATTCTACTTATATCAGACCTATCAAGTGGAGAGTAACTTCGACTAGCAACATGCATATGTTATTAGTCTATATTATCATCTCCATAGTGGGGAATAATACATGTATGATGTCATGCAACACTTTATTTATTCGGTTGTAGACTCATCTTGTCTTGATATATGTGATGTGACTCATAGTGTGGGTACTAAATGCCTCTTTTTTCTCATTAATTACTTGTCACATCATCTATTTTGTCTAGAAGTGTGTGATGCGCCCACCATGAGACTAGCCACAGTGGGAGTAACTTCGGTAGTAACATCGAGTCTAACTCAACAAATTTGCTTATGTGGCAGTGAGTTAATGAGGAGAGATGTAGTACTAGTAACTTAGCTAGTTACTGTAACATCACATGTCCCAATGCAATATGAGTCTATAACCTAATAAATGAAGCATTGCATGTTACCACACTTATGTTACTACCCAATATTGAGGTAGTAACATAGTCTAGGAATATGTGTATGTTACTACTATATGTTACTCTTCATTGTGGCTAGTCTGAGTATGTAGTCTTATTGTATGCGCAGATTTCAAGGTGCATTAAATCACTGCATGCAAGGATCAAGAGAAAACTCACCAATGTCGGGGATATACCCTGCGGTATGACCCAGCTGAGACTTGGAGTTTCACCGGTGACCCGGCAGATTGTAAGCCGGCAGACACAGTTAAACATTGTAAGCCGGCAGGCACAGTCATGTAACCCGGCGGACACAGTCATGTAAGCCGGCGGACACAGTCATGTAAGACGGCAGATATTAAGCCAGACGGTATGCCAGATGGTAAGCCAGATGATAAGTCAGATCGTAAGCCAGACGGTAAGCCAGATGATAAGTCAGATCGTAAGCCAGACCGTAAGTCAGATTGTAAGCCAGATTGTAAGAAGCCCAAGACATTAAAGAAAGCCCATGGAGAGAAGCCCGTGATGATAAGTCAGAATAATTTAAGTCTTAGTCCGAGATGGACTCTACATGTAACCCGCCTCTCCAACTTATATAATGAGGGGCAGGGCTCCCCAAAAGGGACAAACAAGAAGAAACAATCTCTAGGGCTAGACACAAAGAGCCGACTTACCGGCGACTCCCTCATGATCATAATGAGACTTAGACACAAATAGCATGTAGGGTTATTACCGGATGATGTTTTCCGGGGCCCGAGGCTGTCTAAATCATTGTCTTATGTGTTGATTCGCCTCACGTCTCTCGTCCCGCTTAACCCCTCTCAAGCTACCACATAGATGCGTTGGCCTCACGACTAAGTCCTCACAACTAGGACATCTGCCGTGACAATTCCACGACATGTATGGTGTTATGCAACACTTTATTTATTCGGTTGTAGACTCATCTTGCCTTGATATGTGTGATGTGACTCATAGTATGGGTACTAAATGCCTTTTTTCTCATTAATTACTTGTCACATCATCTATTTCGTTTAGAAATGTGTGATGCTCCCACCATGAGTATGTAGTGTTATCGTATGCGCAGATTTCAAGGTGCATTAAATCACTGCATGCAACGATCAAGAGAAAACTCATCAATGCATGTACAAGTTCTTGATCATTTACTAGTGATCATGCATGCAGGTGTTGTAATTAATGCAGGGATAAAAATAACTTTTGAAGAAAAAAAGTGACTAAATAATAAGCAATTTTACAAACTAGTAGTATGAAGTTTATTTCCCTCGTTCATCACGCATCTTGGCCGGGGATTTTTTCAAATTAATAAGCCGTATAAAGCGAAAAAGAGTGAGCAAGAGCGAATTACAGAGGGTGCTGTTACAGACTTACTGTCCCCCTTTGATCCAATCCGGAAAATACGACATTAACCTTGAGGATTGATTGAGGAATTGACAGGCCGACCCGACCCGTGCCCCCGACGCAACACCTTCCGCTTCCTCGAGTCGCCGCCCCCTTTAGCTCGACCCGCTCCGGCGAGACGGTTCCACCGGCGGCGAGGTATGTGATGTGCTGCCCCCATCCATCCCTTCCTCGTTTCACACTTTGGTTCTCTCATTTCCCCTGTTGACCGACGGCGCAGAGGTGTACAGGGAGGTGGATTCCGGCGGCCGGAAACGACTCGCTCTAGAAAGGGCAGCACCCGGAGTCGCGGTAAACCCCTAGATTTCGTTGTCTCAGTTTGTTGGAACCATATTACTTTTGTGGGATTCGCGAATTTCGTCTTCTCAGATGGAGTTGTGCTTGAGATCGATGGGATCTTCATGCCAATTAGGCTGCGTTCGGTTAGAAATTAACTGATACAGTATATAGTTGTAACGCATCGTGTGGTAACCTTTGCCTCGTTTGATTGGTGAAGTCTTGTCAATTTGTCATCGAACAAGATATCGAGAGCTCATTTTTCCGGTGAAGGAGGATGCGATGTGCACACTGGTTACCCTGAGAGAGGAGGATGATAGAGCAATGGAGGCTTTTTCTTTTCTTTTCTTTTTGAATGCTCATATTCTTCTTTAGCCCTCGCCATCCAGTAACATCGTGTCCTCCCCGCCTAAGGCCACTTCCTGGCTCACTCCACCTCGAGGAGATCCTCCTCTCGGAGTCGTTGTCCTTGACCTCCGCTCACTGGACTGGGCGGAGTGGAGATCCATTCTGATCTGGATCTGTTTCCTTGGTTGACGGTGCTAATTTGCTTGGATTGTTCTGTGAGTGTGGTTACTGCATTTCTTTTTCTTTGAGCAAGCAGTCTGTCTTGCTCTTTGTGGGATCGGCACTCCAATTCACCCTGCTTGCTTCCAATCTGTTGTGGATCTGTGTGATGCGTGCTGGAGTAACCAGAACAGTTTACTTCCAAAAGAATTTTGTTGTAAAAAGCAACAAATTAGAAGGTAAATTTGTAGACTGACAAGTGACAACAACCACTTGTAGATCACAGAAAAACATACCGTATGCTGAAATTTTCCATGACAATTTTGATTAGCTTTTGTCCGCATCTGGTGTTTTTTTTTGGTACATATAGTGCTGAACATTTGACCAAAGTTGCTCAAGCTAACTGATTGATCTGTACTCTGTTGCTAGAGGACACTGACGATTCCTTATCATTTTTTTAAAAAGAATGTCACTGAACTCACATTATTATAGCAAATTTATGGCTCCTTTTTGGGTTTTGATTCACTATGTTTGTTGCAGCTTTGGACCTTACGAGCTCGCATTCTGAGTATGCGAAAGACCGGTGGTTTTAAATGCTGGAAATCATATCACTTCCGTTTATAAATGCACAAATATGTTAGGGAATTCTTTGCTAGCTGAGAAAGAATTGGCACTTGCAAGTAGATGTGGTTTGTTGTCATCAAGCATGCAAAAGTCTCATACACCGTCCTGTCCTACTATCACATATGAAGAAGCTCTTAGAAGGGAACTGGAATATCGGCGAAGGTTGGAACGTACTCATCCACATCTGTTGATTGCTCTTAATGAAGCTCCTGCGCTATCCAGAGTAAGCTTCTTGTCTGATAACTTGTCAGCAGGGTTTTTTGGTAATGAACATTTGTGGTCCTATGGTTGATAACTTGCGTGCATGGGAAGTAATTAGTCTGGGTAACCAATCATTAACAGAAATTTGCCATTTCATCTGAGTTTACTTTATATGTCAACACAGTTTTATCATTTGCGCTATCTGTGTACTGCAGAAAGCTATTTTGTACCTTTTATTCATATAGTTATCTTCTACTCCCTCTTTTCACAAATATAAGATATTTTGGATATTTCAGTATGGACTACATATGGACTGAAATGTGTGAACAAACACACTAAAAGGTGTCTATATACAGTTGTTTCAGAAAAAAAGTTAGAACATCTTATATTTGTGAACGGAGGGAGTGTTTTCTTGTGCAAGGCATTGGATCAAGTCTCAACTTCATATGTTGAAAGCTCAAACAGGAGTCAGTTTTCTCAAGTTCTATTGTCACATTCATGCTGTTGAGAAAATATCCATAAGCCGCACATTGAGTTTAATATTGCTTTACAAGATGTGATGAAACATACCCGAGTTTGATCCAACCACCCATGTGAGAAGCTGCAACAAAGGTGTTGTTGTTTCAATGCCACTCCAAATTACCTCTAGCCCTTAATCCTTGTTCTTACCATTTTCTGGACAGGATGAAGAGTTCAGCTTGCAGAGTTGTAGTAGTTCTTTGATCAGTGGGGAAAGTTTGCTAAAGTTTTAAGTAAACTGCATCCATATTTAGAGAAACAATTATTCTGGACGATTTCTGGTTATTGAGTATTCATTTGAAATGCAGTTTACTATTGACAGTCCTGGCACCACTCTCTTTTACTAATGATGTTAAACCATTCCGTGTTCTCATTCTTCTGCATAGGTTCGATGCTACTTTACCTAATTGTATCAAACTATAGTTAGATATTGGAAGATGTTATCTGAAAGCATGATAAGGGCTATGCACTACTTCCTCCGTTCCTAAATATAAGTCTTTTCAGAGATTCCAATATGGACTACATACGAAGCAAAATGAGTGAATCTACACTCAAAACTACGTCTATATACATCCGTATGTAGTCCATATTGAAATCCCTAGAGAGACTTATATTTAGGAACGGAGGGAGTATTTGTTACTATGTTTTTGTTTGAAACCTAGAAAAATTTGTCGGAGAAATTAGATGCACTTTACTTATCTACTATTGGATTAAAAATATACTTTCAGGAGACCTGTACAGATTCAACACCTGATGTGTTGAAGAGAAAGTTAACTCCTGAGAGTAATATGCCTTCACCGCAGTCAAGCTTTAATTTCACCGCTGCAAGAAGCCAGCCAGCAAATTGGTACCCCCCAAAGAAAAAAGTAATAGTTCGACAGCCTGCATCACAGGCTATGCAGGCTGTTCAAGTACCCAGAACAAATTCTGTACCTTCCTTTTGGTGCAAAATATGCAAGGTGGATTGTGTCACTGAATTCAATTTCGGCGCCCATATTGGAGGGAAAAAGCACAAATTTAAGAAGCAACTGATTCTTGGTAATATGAACACTGGAAGACCTGCCACTGGCAGTCAGTTTCCAGGTAACACAAACCGTGGACCCAGTGAGAATGCAGTTTCTGGAAGCAGAAATGATGAACCGAACGTAGGTAGCAGCAGTATTGCTGGACCAAGCAGCAGCGTGTCCTCTGCAAGCAGACCCAGTGAAGCAAACCCTGAAGCATTAAACTAGGTAATCAGCCTCGTTAGGTACTGTGGAAGGCGGGTACCAAGCAGTTCTCAAAGTCATGGAAGCTGTGCAAGAGTTTGTAGTTAACGTTCAAAGAACTAGGCCGTAGGCTGTCCTCGAATGATCACAGTTGACTTCGACGAGCACGCATCTCTCATTGAGCTTGTGCATGAGAAGACATATTGAGCAATTGCACAGGTTGAGATGGCCAAGGAGTCTGTGTCTCTCATCTTATCAAGACCCGGCGACGTTTACAAGGTTCCGCAAGAATTAAAGCATCATGATACAGATCTTTCTTCATAAATGCCATGTTTTATGCTTGTAACTGTTACATACTCAAATGATTGATTGATTAGATCTTGAGTTTGATATTGTCGATGAATTTTTCATGTGCTGGAAAAGATGGATCTTGTTCTCATATGTCAGGACAATCTTCTGTTATCCATTCCTGTGCAATTGTTATCCCTGTACATCTGAATGCAGGGGATTTCAGTGGTCCTATATGGCTTTTTATTCTGAAGTAAAAACATTGGGGTTCCTTATCCGAGTTGTGTACTCCCTCCGTCCGAAAATACTTGTCATCAAAATGGATAGAAATGGATGTATCTAGAACTAAAATATGTCTAGATACATCCTCTTTTATTCATTTTAATGACAAGTATTTCCGGACGAAGGGAGTAGTTATTATTGTTCATCTGAATGCAAGGGATTTCAATAGTCTTGCGACTTTCTTTGGGAACACTGAAATTTATTGGCTTCAGCCACATCATGCTCACATTCATCTACGGACGGTCATAGTTGTTTCTGCGAATATTCATAAGGGCATTTCAAACTCATTGATTCATATTTCATACATTTTTTTATTACAAACTCATTGGTTCATATTTCATATAACTTATAGATCTGTCTTTTATTAGGAGTGAAAGAAAAAAGATCTTATGTGTTGAAATCATTCGAACATTTCCCTGGGTTTATGTAAAAAAAAAGAAGGGTTGGAAAGCAAGATCTGAACCGCCTATGATGACCTCGATGAGTCTGGCAAGGCATGGACTTTGCCTGGTTTTGAGATGTATATAATGATCAAGGTTGTGAGTTCAGCGAACTAAGGATCCTACATGTAGCTTTCCACGGTTGTTATGGAGTTGGGAATTCGCTATCTACCTCATAAACAATGGTTGTAATAAAAAAAACATAACATGTTGAAGTAAATCGATAATTAAATAGAGTAAAAATATATCAATTGTCATCAAACTTGAAATGTATATCCGCTTTGGTCACCAGACTGAAATATACCCAAAATATGTTTCTTTCTAACATACAAGTCCCAATTTATTCTGACATCCAGTTTTCTTTAATTAAACTTATGACATGTGGACGAATCGTCAAAGTGCATAGAGCTATTTCAGTGGTACTCAGCTTACTTCTTTTAGTCTAAGCAATATACATTGTAAGCAAGTGAATGATGTATCAAGGAATTCCTAAAGTTTTCGGTAGCTGTCTATCAACAAAAAAAGAAGTGGAGGATTGAGCTGCATTCATCAGCCGCCTCTGACGACAACTTATTCTCTTTTCTTTTTTATATTTCCTTGTTTTCTAGAGTCAACTCTAATGCCAATTGCACACATCATTCGATATGCATATAAGATGCTATCTCTCTGATTGAAAATATGTTGGAATTAATGGGCATGTTGATATTAGTGGGCCTTGACCCAACTGGATTTCACAATTTTTTTAGAAGTCAAAGAAGTCACAATTAATTTAGACATTCGGTATTCTTTTATATTGAACTAATCGCATGTGGGCAAATCACCAAAGCACATAGAGCTATTTAAGTTGTACTCAGCTTACTTCTTTTAATCAAGCAATACACTGTAAGTAAGTGGACGATGGAGCAATGGATTCGAATATGGAGCACGTACCCGAGCAATATGTTGAGTGATGACCCACAAGTGTAGGGGATCTATCGTAGTCCTTTCGATAAGTAAGAGTGTCGAATCCAACGAGGAGCAAAAGAAAATGACAAGCGGTTTTCAATAAGGTATTCTCTGCAAGCACTGAAATTGTAGGTAAAAATAGTTTTGTGATAAGATAATTTGTAACGGGTAACAAGCAATGAAAATAAATAAGGTGCAGCAAGCTGACCCAATCCTTTTTGTAGCAAAGGACAAGCCTGGACAAGTTCTTATAATGAGTAAAGCGCTCCCGAGGACACACGGGAATTATCGTCAAGCTAGTTTTCATCACGCTCATATGATTCACGTCCGTTACTTTGATAATTTGATATGTGGGTGGACCGGTGCTTGGGTACTGCCCTTTCTTGGACAAGCATCTCACTTATGATTAACCCCTATTGCAAGCATCCGCAACTACAAAAGAAGTATTAAGGTAAACCTAACCATAGCATGAAACATGTGGATCTAAATCAACCCCTTACGAAGCAACACATAAACTAGGGTTTAAGCTTCTGTCACTCTAGCAACCCATCATCTACTTATTACTTCCCAATGCCTTCCTCTAGGCCCAAACAATGGTGAAGTGTCATGTAGTCGACGTTCACATAACACCACCAGAGGAGAGACAACATACATCTCATCAAAATATCGAACGAATACCAAATTCACATGACTACTTATATCAAGACTTCACCCATGTCCTCAGGAACAAATGCAACTACTCACAAAGCATATTCATGTTCATAATCAGAGAAGTATTAATATGCATTAAGGATCTAAACATATGATCTTCCACAAAATAAACCAACTAGCATCGACTACAAGGAATAATCAACACTACTAGCAACCCACAGGTATCAATCTGAGGTTTTGGTACAAAGATTGGATACAAGAGATGAACTAGGATTTGAGAGGAGATGGTGTTGGTGAAGATGTTGATGGAGATTGACCCCCTCCCGATGAGAGGATCATAGGTGATGACGATGGTGATGGTTTCCCCCTCCCAGAGGGAAGTTTCCCCGACAGAACAGCTCCGCAGGAGCCCTAGAATTGTTCCTCCTCGTGGCGGTGGAGTTTCGTCCTGTGAGCTTGCTTATGATTTTTTTCCAGGGTAAGATACTTCATATAGCAGAATATGGGCACCGGAGGGCTGCCAGGTGGCCCACGAGGCAGGGGGCGCGCCCTACCCTCATGGGTGGTGGGTGGCCCCCCTCAGGTATTTCTTCCGCTGAATATTTTTTTATTAGTTCCCAAAATGACTTTCGTGGAGTTTCAGGACTTTTGGAGCTGTGTAGAATAGGTCTCCAATATTTGCTCCTTTTCCAGCCCAGAATCCGAGCTGCTGGCATTCTCCCTCTTCATGTAAACCTTGTAAAATAAGAGACAACAACCATAAGTATTGTGACATAACGTGTAATAATAGCCCATAATGCAATAAATATCGATATAAAAGCATGATGCAAAATGGACGTATCAACTCCCCCAAGCTTAGACCTCGCTTGTCCTCAAGCGGAAGCCGATATCGAAAAATATGTCCACATGTTTAGAGATAGAGGTGTCAATAAAAATAAAATACGGACATGAGGGCATCATGATCATTCTTATAACAGCAATATATATATATATATATATATATATATATATATATATATATATATATGTGTGTGTGTGTGTGTGTGTGTGTGTGTGTGTGTGTGTGTGTCATATGATTTCTTATGCTCAAGTAACAATCTATTCACAATGTCAAGTATGATTCAGAAATTTCATTGAGAACTAACAAACTATAATCTCGGTCATTGAAGCAATTGCGATTTATCATAATATCGGAGAGAGTCAATATAAGAGCTTTTCAACAAGTCCACATACTCAACTATCATTTAGTCTTTCACAATTGCAAACACTCACGCAATACTTATGGTTATGGAGTTTTAATCGGACACAGAGAAAGATAGGGGCTTATAGTGTTGCCTCCCAACCTTTTACCTCAAGGGTAATGTCAACAATAATAGTTCATGCTAACTTACATCCAATTGGATATATATATATCAGGATCTTTCCAACACGAGGTGCTTGCCAAAGGATAAAATGTAAAAGGGAAAGATGAAGATCACCTTGACTCTTGCATAAGGTATAAGACATAAAGTAAAAGATAGGCCCTTCGTAGAGGGAAGTAGAGGTTGTCATGTGCTTTTATGGTTGGATGCACGAAATCTTAATGCAAAAGAACGTCACTTTATATTGCCACTTGTGATATGAACCTTTATTATGCAGTCCGTCGCTTTTATTACTTCCATATCACAAGATCATATAAAGCTTATTTTCTCCACACTAATAAGTCATACATATTTAGAGAGCAATTTTTATTGCATGCAACATGACAACTTACTTGAAGGATCTTACTCAATCCATAAGTAGACATGGCGGACTCTCATGGCAAAACTGGGTTTAAGGATATTTGGAAGCACAAGTAGTATCTCTACTTAGTACAAGGAATTTGGCTAGCATGAGGGGGAAAGGCAAGCTCAACATGTTGGATGATCCATTACAATATACTTTAACTGAGATGTGAGAAAACATAACCCATTACGTTGTCTTCCTTGTTCAACATCAACTCTTTAGCATGTCATACTTTAATGAGTGCTCACAATCATAAAAGATGTCCAAGATAGTATATTTATATGTGAGAGCCTCTCTTTCTTTATTACTTCCTATTAATTGCAACGATGACCAAAACTATGTTTGCCAACTCTCGACAACTTTTAATCATCACACTCTTTATATGTGAAGTCATTACTATCCATAAGATCAATATGATCTCTTTTATTTCTTTTATTCTTTTATGCACTTAAGATCATAGCAAGATAGCAAAGCCCTTGACTCAACACTAATCTTTATTATATATAGCTCACGGACTCGATTACATAGAGGGATCACAAAGCAAAACTCAAAACTAATTCATACCAAAAGCTTTATTCTACTAGATCAAGATATTACCAAAAGGATTGAACTAAGTAAAACGGTAAAGATAGGAGTGTGATGGTGATATGATAC